AATAAATGCATCCCTTCTAGAAGTTAGGGTTTGTTGCACGTATTAGCTCTAAAATTACTATGATTATCTGAGTAGTAGATACCATCAAACAAACTATAACTGATTTAATGTGCCATTCATAGTTTCACAGTCTGAATTAGTTCATACTTACACATATAGGGCTTAATCTTTGAAACAAGCATATGACTACTGGCAAGATCAACCAGGTAGCATTCCTTCGAGATGTTGGCACTGCGTGGGCCTCGACGCACCAATTGAGCGATGGAGAAAGCCCAACAGGGAGCTTAACTGTCGTACGTGTCAAGCACGTGAAATGCATAGCATCGGACGAACGGGGGCCGAAAGCATGCGTTCGCTAAACATTCCACATCTGAGAGCATGATCGAATATCGGTGCACCAATACGGCCATGAAGGATTAGGTGGCACATATGGGACACCGACCACGATAGACATCTGACTCATAGCCCCTCAAGACACGAGATGGATGAGGGATGGCGAGACATCCGACTTTCATCGATTCAGGTATGCAGCACCGGATCCCGATCGTGCCCCCTAGGTACAATGATCACATGGGGGTAGATTGAAGAGGATGATGGGTCGACAGTTTAATGCATCGAGCATGGAGCCTACCCAACACGCACAACCATAACAGCACTCATATGCCCATTGTGTACAAGTGGCAGCATCCACGCGCATCGGTCCATAACTCACGCGATCGATTACTCGATGAACGAGTAGAGGAAATGATGTGTGAGGCCACACCACAACTGCTTGGCACGAGAAAAACACAAGCAAGGGCCACAAGACTGCCCCTGCCATCCGACAGGCAACAATGGTGCGATACCACCAATGCTTGGCCTAGCTGAGATCGCACGAGTGAGCTCTGCTAACACCACCCTAAGGGGACGTTGCTCAATTCAGGGACTTGTTCATAAGGTCTTGGGCAGCATTGGCTGCATGCACGGCCTCGTAGAGGCCAAGGCATTTTTGTGGTCAATGAGAAGGGACCCGCAAGATCGTCAAATATCGAGAGACTTGGTCGGGCCAAGCCCGCAACCATAGCTTCTGCTTGCACCACCCCAGGAGCCGTTGCCTAATTTAAGGACTTGGTCTGGGGTCTAAGGCAGCATCCGCCACATGCACGGGTTCTAGCTTGGCTCTCTTTTTTCGTATGAACACCAATCGATCGAGGCCATGGGCACCTGCCGGTCAACGGAGCAACCAGTCGTCAGACAAAATGATCAGAAGGCATGCACGCCCTGTATTTCGCTCGAGGGATGTTGCCCTAGGTGTACGCAATGGGAGGCCCATCACGTACACTTACTCCCTCCATTGGGAGTAGAGGGGTGTCGGACCACCACCCCCTAAAGAGCATTAGAGAATTTACAGATATGCTACCAGTAGATGTTAAAGTGTCTAAAACGGAGACACTTTTTTCAACATAGGCATATCCCGCATCGAGGGTGAGCAGGTGTCGATGGTGGTCGAGGCATGTGCCCGCACCAAGGGCCAATGCGTGTCAATGGTGTTCAATGCGACTGCCTGCACCAAGGGCCATCTTCTGTCGATGCTGATCGAGGTAGGTGCCCGCACTGGTTCTAACTGGTGCACATGCTGATTGAGGCATGCATGCACCGATGGTGGTCAAGGCATCTGCCCGCACCGAGGCCCAGCATGTGCTAATGGTGTTCGAGGCAACCGCCCACATCATGGGCCATCTTCTATTGATGCTGATCGAGGCATGGCACGTGTCGATGGTGATCGAGGTAGAGGTTGAGGCCCGCATGCTAGGCACGCTAGTAGGTATTTCACGTAAGGCCTAAGAGACAAGACCAGAATGCTCGCCTAGCTTGCAGGCCAGCCCTTGAGGCCAAAGCCTACCCTGCACACTACCCGTACCATATCTAGAGGGGCCCAAGGTGGGAGATACGCAAGTGAATCTTTTGAAAGCTTACAGGATCAGTAGGAGCCTATTGGCTGATTTGGTTGACCCTAGAATTCAGGAGTTAGAATCCTGATTGATTGTAATCTTTGTAATTCCTTGATTTTAGCCTTTATTATAGGGATATTACCATTAAGTGTAGCTAGAGCCTCAACTATAAATAGAGGGCTACTCCACCCTCATTTGTACACCATCAAACACTTCTGTTTCAGTGAATACAGAGCATATTTCTAGCATTCTGCCTTGTTATCTTGTTTCTCTTTAACTTACGTAATCAGCCCTTCCCATTGTTCTAGTGCCCGTACGCTTGTGTTTTAGGCTGACTTAGGCATAAAGGAAGAGATTGCAAGCCTAAGGCCACAAGGATTCTGAGTCTAAGGTTAGATCCCATGACAGTTGGTATCAGAGCAAGTTTGATTCTGCATGTTTGTGTTGTGTAGGTTAGATCAAGATTGTGGAGATGGCATCCCAAAGTGATGTTGCTAGCCAACAACTAGAGGCCCAGGAGTAGGGGTATAGAAGAGGCAAAAAAGCCAGTTCAAGAGATAAATGGTCTA